AACAATTAATTATTGATGCTCGTAATTTAGCTCCCAGATGTCGACTTTGCGGAGGACTCTGGAGGTGTCGCGAGCGAGCTGCAATTCATTATGTGGCCATCCTCGTCGTGCGGACAGAGGTGATTTTCCCGAAATCTCGTTCAAAGGAAAAATTGAGCGCTGTGATCCGATTAGTGAGTTGGCCTCTTTCCGTCCTCAGACGTGTGTATCATGCATACTGATTCAGCCCAGATTGAGCGCAGAGCCTTCCGAACGTTAGCCTTACTTCTCCCGTGCGGAATGCAAATACGGAATGACACAGAAAAAAACGAGCGGCAGCGCGGCGTCTGGACGCGTAAGCGACCAAGCGAATGGTTTAGGGAGGAAGATCGATGAGCTTCCTTCAGTAAAGGTTGGCATAAGTTAGCTCGTCCGATCTGTGCCAATTCCGGAGACAAGAAACTCGGGGGCAGCGATTCCCGCGCGATCCTTGAATTTTTTTTGTGAATCATCGACTGGCAAGGCTCTTTTCTTCATATCGACCGCGAAGCACCATAATCGCGATGCTTCGCCAACGGCTAAACTAAGCGATCAGCGTCGTGTTCGACCCCGATTTCGAGACTTTGGAAGGTCAAGTTCCGCGTCAACATCCGCATTGCAGCTAATTGTCAAGCTATCACCGGGTGGAATTCCGTGCCTTCGATCGACGTCCTTCCCGATTTTCTTCTCTCAAGAGCAGCACTGAATGAGAAGTTGAGACGATAATAATAGGATCTCTCGGCGCTTGCGTCGACGCAGAATCTTGAGACCAATCGCTCGAAGTATAACCATTCAATGATGGACATTGAAGCCGTAGAACATAGAACTATGGCTACCAGACTCGAACCTCGGAATACCAAACGAAATGTCTTATGATGACCTGGCGACTTCAAAGGCGATTTCTCCCGATGATCCATTGTCCATGATTGAGAAACTCCAGACTGGCGCTCCCATCAGATTGAATGCCTACGGAGCACGTGGAGGTCGCCGGAATGAAACGGGGGTCAAAGCCTCGTTCGAATCAGGCACCACGTCAGGACATCGCTTGCACCATCACATAGGTTCGTTCTAAGACTCCGATCGTATGACAATCAGTGACAGTCGCGTCGCTGCTGCTTTGCCTTAATTACAGGCGACCGCCGTGACGTCATGCGAACTAGATCTGCTCTCAGAACCCGGATCTGTTCCGTCATTGGCGATACCTTCCGGGAGAGAAGGAGAGAATCCCTGAGAATGCCCGGGATTACGGGAAAGGCGAAACTCGCCCTCTCTCGGCTGCAGTGTAATCCATCTGCAAGTTCATACGACATCAAACATCAATCCTCATCTGCATAAATCGATCTGGGGACCGACAATTATTGACAGATGATCGAATAATATGAACGTATGGGGATGAACATCCCTATGATTGCCATTGACATCTAGATATGAGAAATGAGTCTTTCAAGAAAATTCGGTCACGTAGTGTCGAAGACGGTCCACGCGTCCATCCGAAGCGAAATTCCGGCCCACAAACCGATTGATATGGCAGCCGTCGTCGAATTCGTGCGATCCTCGCGCCTCCGTCGTTGCATCCGTTCATCCATCTGCTTCTTCTTTGAAATTGATCTGACTGCCCACGAGCCATGGTCCCGCACAATGCGGACCAGGAGTTGGGGTCATCTAGCTCAAGCGATCGAAATCCATAAGAAAGAATACATTCGAATCCGGTCGACGCGATGGGATTTGCGGGGAAAATCGACCGGGAAACGCACGTCTGGCGATTATGGTTTCCATACGGAGTGTTCTGAACGTTCATTTGCAACGGAGGGAAGGATAGTCCGAAAACGAAGAGGAAGAAGACCGAGGTAGAACTAAATGCCGGAGATACCCTCCATCCCCCCGCCCCCTCGTTGCCGGGTCGCCCGACGCTCTCGACCGATGTGCGGGTCGCGACGACTGTGAAGATCACTTATAGGCATCACTATCGGGTGAGATTTGTGGGGAAACGACCGAGTGTGGCCACCCGACCCAGAGGATTTGTCTATGAATTATTTATATTCAATCAATAATATTTCAACGACACCGGCGGCGGTGACACAGGCTGCATCGAGCAATGACGACGACTCGGCGTCGAGGCGGCAGCTGCGAACGTGTCCGAGCGTCATCGTTCGACTCGAAGGTTGGAACCTACCACGACCCGCAGGCTGACTGACGAATGCCGGCTCCACGTTCAAGAAATTTCCGCCTGCCTGTTTATATCCTGAACTGTCAGCGGGGATTTATGTCCCCGGAGTCTGCCCGGGCACTCGTTGGGTCACGTCTAAAGTACAACTACGACGGGAACGACAGCGACGAGGATGGTGAGCAGGACGACGATGACAACGAGACCATCTGTGTACTGCTTTAACTGCGAGCGGCGCCCGGCTAAGTGGTAGTGGTCGTCGTTGTTGTAGTTGTAGTAGTGAAGGAGGATCCTATCGGTCCAAGTCCTCAGCCTCCTTCACCTCCTGAGAAGTCTGGCCAAGAATGCACATCACAACTTCTTCCCCGAGGGAACGACTCGTCTCTCGCTCATGCTCCTCGGCTCGAACCCCCGAAAATATCCGCATTAATCCCATTAATAATTAACGAGCTCCTTGAGCTTCCCCAGGCAATCATCATCGGTCCCGTAATTTCCTCCACCGTTTTCAGATTTTTACGAAAGTTCGCTCGTCGTAAGTCATTGTGCTGTGTGTTGTTTCAGGAAACCGACAAATATTATTAGAAACTCATGTTCTAAATTTGGCAAGGATCGCGTGCTGTCGTCTCGCCTTGAAATTTCGGCGAGGTGGTTTTCTCGCGATGTACAGCGAATCCCTCTCAATTTCAGGTATTCATTCATCTGTGAATATTTGATTCGATGCTTTTTCTCCTGAACGCGATTTTTGGAAACGATATATCGGCGTACGCCTGCGGAGCCGTTTGTTTTCTCATCCTGGCGAACCTCGATTCGAGCGCTGAATTAGCGGACTCTAGAGCCCAGATAGCGAAAATAGCCTTTAGAATCTCATTCAGACCTACTAACCACGATAAAACCAAATCTCTTGCATGCGTCAAGAGCTGCATTCCGAGATAAGCCCTTGGAGAGTCCTGCGGCTCCGGATCCTCGTGAGAAGAGCCGGAGCCCGTCCTGACATTTTTCCACCCTCATCCAACCCGGAACATCTCGGCTCGAGAAGGCACACCCTCGAAATTTTGTCTCGGGGCGGTTCCCGCAAAAGTCTCGCAACTGCGCCGAACATTCTCATTCCTGGCGATTCAGCATCCGTGTACGTTTGTCGCATTTCGTTTTTGTGAATCCTCATCGTTCGCACAAATTAATTGAGGGATCAACTGACGGAATTGAGTTCAGCTCACCGAGAGACACGGGATGGGTGGCTTCCGAAGCTAATTGTCTGTCTCTGCAACGATATTGATGTGTCTCACTGTCTGCCTCGCTGTGTCTCTTACCGACCGATCGTCTGTATGTATGTCTGCGCGTAAGTCCTCTTCAATGGTTTTATTACCTCAGTTTTTGCCCCGACCGAGTCATCACGTTTTCTCTCCCAACGGCGCTAAGCGCTGGCCAAACGTTGACCCCCGATCGACCACTCCCCGTCGCGAGATATATACAATGAACGCTGCTACCACGCCACGAGAAGATATCGGGTTCGCTATTCATTGGCCTGTGGTTGAGCTTCGGGCGCCTTCTTCGATCTTTCTCAGTTCGGCGTATGAGATCAAAATCGTTAGACCGGATGTTCCGAAGAAGACAAATTCGAGCTCATTGGGAGGAACACGGAGTCCGAGAGCCAGGCTGGGATATGATAGACATTCAGCTCTAAAATTGTTGCTGAAGCTCTATAGGAGATCAACGTCGACGAGGTGGATTCTCAGTCGGCGACTGCGCTCACACACCGGTGGACTCGCCGGGAAGGATTTCCCTTCCGAGGATTTTGTCACGCTATGAAATACTTTCGCTGAACTCAAATCTTCTCTCCTTCTTCCTCAGCGGTCGCTCGCCCTTGGTTTTCTATTAGCCCGTCCAATAGGCTTTCAGTTGGCCCGCACAAACGAAATGATGGCAGTATATGCATGGGGCCGGTATTGCGGCATTTCGGTCCACGACGGACCGACGAACCGACCGAGTGTCGCAGTCTGCGATGGCAAGCGACTCGACGGAAGGCCGAGAATCTCAAGATTACCATATCAAAAAAAAAGAATAAAACAAAAGTTCATCTCATCTGTAGACGTCAAGCTTTTCGAATGGTAAAGAGCTGTCACGTCACGATGGGAGAAAAGAGGGGCTTTCATTAGTTGTTCCAGTGAGTCCGAGACATTATTTATCTTCCGGCCTTCAAGGACAGCGGATCTTATCAGATGAGGATCATTGTCGGTGGTACCGTAACGCCCAAAGTCTCACTGAACCTTACATCACCCTGGTACGCATCGTCGTGAGCTTTCAGCTCCCCACCTGCGACCATCAGTCAATTCCAGCAGGTCGTTCAGAGGGATCTTTTCTTCGACCATTTCGTAATTTCGTCGTAATTATCCTCCCGAAGGCATCCTTCCGTTTGAACTTCCACCGAAGTTTGCTGCCGAAGTTTCTCCGCAAAACCCCTCCAAATAGAAGACTTCCCTCGGATCCGACAACGTCTCGACCGCGTAACGTGCCAAAAGATAATCAGTGTTGCCGAGCAAGAGATTCCGTAAACTACGCGCAGACGGTACATCAGCGCGTCCGCGTGTAATCGAGCAGGAAAGTCTCCTCGACGAAACTTCCGACATTATTGAGCGAAGCTCTCGCTCAGAGGGCATAGTACGTCTCCTCTGACGTCGTCCGACTAGCCGATTGGCCGTCGAATCAGTTCCCCGTCCCTCACAGACCATAGGTTCGACGCTGATTCGGTCAATTGGCTAGTTGTTCGATTGGCCGCTTGTTTGCTATCTTGGCGACATGTTCTGGAAGCTTGATCACGTACCTGTTTGACCCTTGCCGAGGGTCTTTTCCAGCCGGTAGGGTCCCACGTACTGGAACGCGTGGCGGGTCGAGCTTGCCTGATCCTTGTTGGACATCTTTCCGTTGGACACAGATTACTTTGCGCGGAGCACGGATTTTCCACAGCACCTCACAGATTCGGTCCGAAACGTCCAGCAGCGATCTGCTTGCTGTAGGACTCTCGGACAAAAGACACTCAAGCAAAGCAAAGCATCCTCAACCTTCCACCATTCACAACGGCTGAACATCGAGCATCAGGCCACCACATTAGTGAGCACAACCATCCGAGCGACGGCTTCCCAGATATCCAGGAGGAGCGATTTATCCAATCGACGACTACATACACAGTTTCATACGCTAATGGACGAGGGAAGACCTTTAGACCTTTGGAGTAGGCGCCGTGAATTTTCCAACACTAGGTCGATATTGTAAAGCTTCGAACACTCGGGCAGGTTCACTGATTGGCAGGTAGATGAAGGGTTTATGGATATTTCGTCAACTCGGAAGCCGTAGTCGTCGTCGTCGTTCTCGGTGGTGGTGATGATGGTGATGGTGGTTGTGATGGTAGTAGTAGAATTGGGGATGGTAGTGGCAGTTTTGTCGATGGTGCTGATTTGGATTTTGGAATTTCTGAGAGAACGGTAGCCGCGGCCGGGATGCTCCTAGAGACGTCCACGAACGGCCGGGCGGGCTTGCTCACTTTGATTTTCTGGACCTTGGGTTGGGAATCGAAACACGGGGGCCATGGTTGGCACAATGCTCCTGCTGCCATAGACGGCTACCATCTTGGGGGCCGTCCTCTCGCTCCCACCCTCTATGACAACACTCTCTCAGAGCCCCTCCACTACTCCACGGAGTCCCTGGAGTCGAGAGCTCGCGCCAATTTCAAACACAGCACCCTCCCCCAACTTCATCCATCCCTTCTCCACTCTGAAAATTTTGCTTTCACTTTCGTTGCTGAAACGGTCGGCCGGCGATAGGCGTCGTCGTCGGGACCGTTATATTTCTCATATGGGTACCGTTCCTACGGTGGTAGTGGGTTTCACCGTCCGGAGCGCAGGGTCTGAGCTCCGACCGATTGGGCGGTCACTTGACGAGGCAGCTTTTCGGCCAGCCTCGTGGTAAAGCGGCTTTCTGACGCCGCATCAGAATAAGAAAGGATACCTACCGAGATGAGTGGAGCAAATTGATGAAGTTTGCTCGAGAGTTTCCGTCCGTGCGTCCAGGACATCCCGAAGACGCTGTGAGCCTCGTCCTAATAACCAATGCTCCCCCTCCCCGCCAGTCCGAATGACGCAGTGTCCTTTGTGACTGAAGCATGCTGCGACAACAGCAATATCGTCGGAGCGCTATCGCTGGGGAAGACGCAGCAAAGCATTCTGAGCTGTTGTGTTGGCTATTCGCATTTGAATTTGTATTCGGGGTTCCTAGGAGATTTCGTATCGGTGTTTCCTCTCTGGGCTCTTGGTCACCGTCGGCTCCTCGGCCACAGTCGAGAGCGTTGGCTCCCGACGAGAATCGGACGGAGCTGGGTGGGATCGGTGAAAGCACATAACGTTTGAAGCTCGTGGTCGGAATTAGGCGAAGTTTATTTTCTAGAGGTCGGGGAATTGTTTTGAAACCTGATGCCCTCTGCTTTCTTCGCGTACTGCCCTTCGTCGTCCGCAATAATTTGACGAGAAAGACGTCTTCACATCATGCGGAATCTCGAAAGCTTCCGGATAATGAGGACATTTAAGGTAACTCGAGCTTGATTTGAAATCCTCTCCTCTCACGAGACCGTCGTGCCCTCTGCCGACGCTCCCCTGTCACGTTTCTCAGACGGATTCACCCTACGGATGCGCGATTCGTTTCCTGAACTCTGGGATCATGTGCAATTCGGAATTTGTAATCTATTGGGGCGCTCGAGGTGACTCACTCCGGGACATCGGATGCGCCACACAATAGAGCTGTAGGAGGACCAGATCTCGATTTTGGATCTGAACAAAATCACGGAGATCCTAACCTGTTTTGGCTCAGCTCCTCGCTCTATTGGAAAATTTGATTCATCAGCGTTAAAGTCGACCCAATTCCGTCTCAACTTTCACCATCATCCGGGAGTTCGACTCCGGTTATCCCGGAGGAGGGGGCGGCATCGAAAGATTCGCATGGAAAATCATGTCCCGAGTGATCCAAACGCTCGAGCTTAGAGTGACAAGGCGAGGAACGAGTCCAAGCGATTTCTGATCCAAGTATCGCTGAAACCTCCCAGAGTCCCCCGTCTTTCCCAGCTCCGAGTCATCTGGACTGATCCACCTTTTTCTTTTCGATTTTCCCTCCTCCAGTGTCTTCTTCTCTTAGAGTAATGCTTCAGAGATTATCCGTTCAAGGGACAGTTTCCGTCTGTAATGTATAAAACGATTCTGCCAGCGCTGGAGGAATCAATCAGTAGAAAGGCTGAACTATTCCGGCTCTTTGGCGATTTACGCAGAACACTGTCGGACAATCTCAGGGTCCGGGCTATTGCGGACGCGGACGGCTCGAGCTCCCTCTTCGACATTTGAAGCTGGGACCAAATTCTAGCTCAAGTCTCCAGACGGGTGCCCCGACCCGCCAGGAAACGCGCTTCCCCACTCGAGGCAACCATCCCATAATAGGATTACCTCCGCTTGATTGTACAGCCCAGTTCATTTACGAAATAAGCGGCGAAAAAACGGCGGAACGACTGCGGCTGACTCAATTTGACGTTGGGAGTGTCTTTGACCGTATGTTTTCGTTAGTTGTCGTTAAAATGCAACCATCAAGAAAGAATGAGGAACGACGGATGCGAGAAGACGTTTGCGCTCGATAGGATATCGACCGAGTCGCTTTCGCTGCGGGAGAAAGCGCGACGTCTTGACGTTAAACGAAAGAAGAAAAGAACGATAAAGAATTCAAGGACCCTTTGTCCAGAATTATGTCACGTTGCCGTTACGGGGTGGATTCCGTTGGCGGTCGATTCGATTTTTCTCTAAACAAGTGTACGGTGCCCGTCCGTACTTCTTTACTTCTTTGAAAGCGGGTATTCTGAAAAATCTTGATTGATTTGTCGCTGGGCTAGCCCTCAATTTATCACGATGCGTCGACTGACCGTAGATCAGTCTACGATCCCAGGTCGTCGAGTATTGCGCTCGAAACTCCCTCGGGAGCGGGAACAAGAAGAGTTCAGAGCTCTTTGCTCCGGAGGAGTTGTCATCCAGCTGGATTCCTATGGTGCAACGACAGACCCAATACTGCGTTCGGAAAATTATATTTCAAAATGTCGACGCGCCGATCGGAAAGATCGGAATCGGGAATGATTTTGCTTTAATCTACAAAGCGAAAATTTCCCGTTACGCTCACGACCTTGATGTCGTCGTTGTCCACACGCGACGCTTCAATCTGATGTCGTTCGTTCAGGACATGGCGATTATTCGAGTCAGGTTGACTACGCGGCGGGCCGAAGACCTCCTTCTCACTCGCTTTGTCGATGGGGCATCCCTTGTTCGCCCGTTGCCCTCACCGTCGCCGGTTAAGGGAAGGGGGCATCGTCTAAGGGTGACCGACCGACCGACTGTTTGACTGACTGTTCGTGCGGTAGTGCCGTGCTGAGCACAAGGAGTCGACATCGACGTTCCGTGTGAAAGGCGCCAGAACTCCCCGGTAGGGGCATCCCCTCACCTATCTCGGCCACTGAGGCGACTGCCAGAGACGGCGCTTTGACGATCAGCTGTCCGCGCAATCATCCGCGCAGCTTCTCCGTGTTTCACCTGAGCTTGTCGTCGGCCCGGAAGTGGCGCCGCGCCGCAGCTCCCGATCCCCGATGCATCCCGTGTCGGGGTCCGTCTGAAGACAGCCGCACCGCGGAAAAACAAGAATTTCGAGAAAAACGCTCATCAAGAGCGATCATCGCAAGTGCCGCCGTGAGTAGAGCCGTCAAACCAAAGTACCTACCCGCTGCTGATAAGTCTCATCCGGACGCTTCAGGACCGAACCGTTCCGCGTAATTTATTGTGATGCGATCGGTGATTTCGTGTTCGAGAAATCGAGGTGATCGAGTCGCCTTGTGATTCCAACAACGGTCATCCGATCTCTGCTCCGATCTGCAACGCAGTGCGAATAGGTGATCTCGTGTGCAGAGTGTGAATTCCATTTGTTCGTCACGGTCGTCATCGTCTTCGACATGAGCATGAAAATCGAATGGAGTCTAGTCGTTGGATGCTTAGTGCTGCTCGGTAGCATTGGAGAAACGGCTGTTCCCGAATTGGAACTGTCGAAATTCGTCACGAGACTCGGAGCCTTCAACGAAACAGATCTGATTGCTTTCCATGGGCTCATAGCAAAAAGAGTCGCGGCCGCCGTCCGGGACGCAACACCTCTCGAGCTCGGAGGGATCAGCGTACTCGTACGGGACGAGAATACCTACATCAACGTCACTCTATCAAAAGTCAAAATTGAAGGCCTCGACAGTCTTCGAGTGCTCGACGTGGCCACCAGCACCCAGCACTTGCGAGCATCCGTGCTCCTCCGTGCGGCACAAATGAAATTGAGCTCGACATTCAAGATGAAGGCGTTCCTAAGTAACAGCTTCAACTCGAGCACGATCTACGACGCTGGTACGTTCGAGGTAGACATCGACCGGCCCGCAATATCTTGGTTCGCGCGTTTGGTTGGCGAGAGCAACGAGCAGCTCGCTGTCACCCAATCCGGTGTCCGGACCCATATGAGCGAAGTTGACTTCGCCTTCACCACTAGCAGCAAGCACGATTTGTCTCCAGAGATCATGGAGACGCTCGGTATGGCTCTGGTGGACGAGAGCCGACTGCGGCTCGAACGTGCTCTCAGCCATTCCATTAACAAGGCTATGCGGCGCGCTCAACCCGACGTCACCAGGATTCTTGAGGAGCTCCTACTCGAGGATGACGTCCCCCAAACCTTCGGGGTGGGCTCCCACTGCAGGGGAAAGTGTGACTTGATGGAGAAAGCGAGAATACAGAGCGAGAAACTCGCTCAGCGTTACGACAACAGTAGTGATTACGACGACAATGCCGCCGCAAGCGTCGGTGCTCATCAACTGCAACACCATCACAGGTCGCGAAGACAAGTCCCGTGCAATAACGGAACGGAACTGGACGACTACGTCGACTATTTGTTCCGGTTCGCCCGAAGATTGATCCGAGTCATGGAGCCGATTCCCGGACCGAATTTGACCGTTTGCATTGAGGACTCAATCCAGGTTTTCCTCCACGATCTGGAAGTTCGCGGAGTTCACACCTTGAGCCGGGAGAAACCGGCTTACGTGAAATGTAACAAACAAGGCGACGTGACGGTCGGGCTGGTGGTCAAGATCGAGAAGATTACCGGAACAGCGAAGTATAGAGTTATTCACGACTATCGGCACCTACTCTTCCAAGGAGACGCTGACTTCAAACTCAAGAACACCGTCGTTTGGGTACAAATCTCGCAGCTCGGGAACGGTAACAACAGGTTGGATGTGTTCAGAATTTGGAAACTCGGCAAGGTAAGCACTTCCCTCAGCCGGTGCCATATCTCACAGCGTCCCGTGTCCACTCTCTGACCTCGGGGATTCTGCTGCTTGCCGCCGATGGTACCGGATCGCCCGATTTCTCGTCGCTAAGTTCGCGTTGGCGATCCGTTTGAATCTTTCCGAACGCCATATTTCTCATCATTCTTGAGGGTCAGACCGTAAATGACACAAACGAGACCATGCGCCACTCCCAAGGCTGGCTTGTTTCTCCCAATGAATGGTCGAGGTTTCCAACATTACCTCGTGCCGCCCCCCTCTCCCTCCTCCCCTATGGGAACGAGGAGGAAATCCGCAGGCGAGGAAGGTCGCATCGAGCTCACTCTTTTGGCGAGAACCGACGGAGAGTCCGAAAATCCAATTCGGTCAACTTCGGAAATTCGCCCGAACGTCGTAGTTTCAATATCCTGCTCTGCTTCAGCGCGGCAGGAGCTGTCGGGAGCGAATAATTCAATCGCACCCAATCGACTGGACAGCGTTTTGCCTGTCCTCCTCCAATTTGGATGAGCTCGCCGAGCGGAAAACCCGAACAAATACATTATCGTGTGTTGAGCGTGGTGAAAAAGACCGGGATTCTGAAGAGAAACCGAATTTAACAGCTGGACCGATAGAAGTGTAATCCATCGACAGGCGGGAGACCATGATATTGGACATGCGTGGAGCGGACGTGCCCAACCAGCCCAACGCGAAGCTCCGTTGAATTCTCGTTGATACACTAGCCTCGTATTTTTGTCTCCGTGCCCCTTTTTGTCCTCTCGCCGTCTCTCAACTAATATGTATCCCTCCTGGGATGAGTTTGCTAAATTCGGGTCGAGCGCAGCCGGCAAACGTTTCACGAATTCCTAACGAGCGAGGATGTTTTGAAGAAGTTCTCGGAAACGTGTCTGGGAATACTTCTCCGAAAGCTTCGGAGAGAGTCTGAAAAAAGACGGGGAATTCCTCTTGTGCACTGCTGAGCAGAATCACAGGGATTTCTCGGAGGTACTCGTGAAAGGCTTCAGAGTTCGCTGAAAATAGTTTCCTTCGGGCAGATTTATGTCGTCGTCCCGGAAGTCTCGATTTGCTCGACGCTTGCATTGGCGGGGCGGCGCGGGCTGCATAAATGCGTTTTTTCCTCTACATGCCGAAGCGCGTTGACTACAAAGACGAGATGCGGGACCATACTGGCTTCCCGGACCAAAGCCTTAACCACAGGGGTGCAGGAGCGTTCGTAGTCACCGAGCCGAAGATAAGCACCACACGAAACTAACGAAAACGGTACCCGAACGAACAGAGCGGACGAGGGAAGTTCACTGTCGATCCCCGGTGGATCAAGATCCCTCACGAAACGATTCGACGGATATTGTTCAGCAGGCACATCGCGGATATAGAGATGGAAAACTTCGCTCTCTGAGCCCCCATTCAAGTTCCGAGATGGGCGTGATTCGAGGATGCGAATTCTGGTCCGAGCGGAGGGTCCCTTCATGCACTGGTCTCAGCAGAAGGAGTCCACTTTGACCGGAGCTCTTTTCGAGAGCGTCTACGCTTAAATTGAGGTGGCAGAAATCCGGATAAAAAACACTGCAATTACCAGGGCATTTTCACCTCGGGATACAGTTACAGGGAGTGGAGCGCGCGTCGTGGACATCACTGCGGCAGGAACGGTTGCTACTTATTAGCAGATGTTTTGAACGAGAATATTTGCGTTGTGGCGCGTCGGCCTGTTGCGTAAGCCCGCGCTACACGGCTACGGCAGCCGGGCTGAAGTCGAAAGCAGTTTTTCTCGGATCTGTTATTTCCGCCAAGCAGCAGCAGCAGCAGCAGTCAAAGAGTCAGTCAAGCAGTCAGCTGGTAAATCGGCAGTCGACCTGGCAACAACCAATGCGATAGCGCTTTGCCAAAATAAGATTCCGACCCTACCGAATCGATGGAAGATTTCGCTACTTTCAAGAATATGCCGACTGGTCAGAAAGCATGTCGCATGAACGGGACCCCCGATGAAAATCATCGTAATCGAAATTCGAGGATCACAAGGTCTTCCCCACCTCCCTCTGGCAGTCAGACGCCGATTTAGATTCCTTGCTTACGTAACCTCGTGTGAAGATGTGTTCGGAACGTATTTGCGTTGACCTGTCTCGTGACTCGGAAGTCGGAAGACCCGAACTTGGTCGGGTAGGCTCCATCAACGATGACATGCAGCTAATGAGCGTCGAACGACCATTTGGTTCATGAGGAAACCAACTCGATTGATGAGAAACTGGGATTGGCTGGAAGTTTTCAGAGGGTTGCTCGTGATCTGACTGATGGTTCGTCGTTGGGACCATTTTCGCGAAAAAATTACGAAGGGGAAAAGCTTCAGGCCAGGGCATTAGATAGACAAACGCGAGGATTCGTACCCGTCCCCCCCCTTCCCAGTCGCCACAATCCGTCCCAACGCGGATAGTCAGATGCGTATTGATCTTCTTCCGATGTTAGCTTTCGACTCACTACGAAAGACTTCCTCGATTACTTTTCTTGAGGAACGTCGAGGCATGTCTCATCAGGAGGATACTGCTCAGAACTCAATAATAATTTTTTTCTGCCCTTCCAGATGCACATAAGACTCAGGGGTCTTGGAGGTGTGACGTCGGCACTTTCGATGTTGATGAGTCGAGTCATCAACGACGACCCTTGGAACGTAATACCGATCGCCGAGGCCCAGATGATTACTTTCGGTCGAGAAATGATCGCCAATGTCACAGTGCCAATATTCTCCCTCGTGTAAGCCTTATAGTCAAGCGCATGCGTCTGTCCAGTGGTTCGAGAAGCCTCCAGCAGTGGTGCAGCTATCCTTCGAGTTCCCGGAAGGTACAGAAGATTCAACAATCTTGTCAAGTAAGTCGATACACGATATCCCGGGGGCTAGAGTCCATATTTCGGACGGATATGGTTTGCGCTGTCACGTCCGAGAAAAAAATCGACGCGATAACCCCCCTATATAGTCTAGAAATTAGGTAGGTATTTCGAAGAATTACGTTTCTCCGAAGCAAGTTCTGTGTAAATGGAGCAAGCCCAATAATTCATGATCACAGGTGAGTCACTGCCCATTCACGAAGATTTCGATGTTGCACGGGGTTTCGGAAAAGCTTTCTATGTGCCTTGTGGTCGTCATGCGATGCGGCTCGAAACAGTGCTGTGGATTGAATCTGTTGAAATCTGACGGACCGAAATTATATAATCGAAACATTCCGAGTGCTTGTCACGGCGCGAGTCGGAGCTACAGAAGAACGGACACTTTCACTGGATCGCAACCACTGATACGAGAAGGGAAGCTGGTTTTCAACTGACCCCGACAGCCGCGCCTTCGTGAAAGCGAGCGTCTTTTCGTCGTGTCCTTGCAAGGACGCATGTCGCTACGGTGATGGTGGCGGTGATGATAATGTTGTGCAATGATTCGTTCTATAATTCTCCTATAAAACAAAATACAACGACGGTCGCCCCGTCCGTGTGTCAAAGAGTGACGCGGTCAGTCATTCAGTCTTCTGTCTTCCATGTTGTAATAACAAAGCTGATTTGTGATCCCGATACTTTAACCCGGGGGAAGGCCGTCCCAGCAGAAAGGCCCTCCATTGAGAAGCTGGAGCGGGTAATTAATCTGTGATTCTGTCAACACATGAGTGTCTTAATCGATTCCCGAATTTCTGTTCCAGGCTCGCGTACAATCTGCGAATCAACCCTTCTCGAGCTGGAATTTCTCTCGTATGAAGATGGCTCAGCATTCATACGAAACCTGATTTCTGTATATACTGCAACAGCATCCGGTGGACAAAAATATACCCGGTGCGAGACAAGCTGAAACCAAGAAAAAAAATTGAGTGAATTAATTAGTCTTTCAGATCATTTCCCCGATCGATGAAGACCTTCGCTTCGATTCTGGACCTCTTCTTTTTCCCGAGTAGGAAGTACGGGTCCAGGTGGCGACGAATGCAGAGAAACGATCCGAAGCATTTGATCCCCACCGTACGATTCGCACGGAGGTCTCTACATAGCATGACTTCACCGGAGACACATCGGTGGTGATGAGAGACGAAATTCCGGAAGCGCAGCTCGATCGTCGGGCATTTCCACGTCAAACGAGGATTTCACTTACACAGCAAAACCTTGAGGTCCCGAGTCTCTCGGGTATCGTTCCCGAGGACGTATCCTGGGTAGCGGCCGAGGAAAGCTCCGTCTGAAGCACCTCTATCGCACGAGAAGTACCTGCTTCTAGTTGGTGAAGAGGGGGGATGATGTCGCGCCTCCTCAAGGACCATACTTTATCTTTATGACCGGAAAATTTCGGGAGGGGGGCATGTCCCCCTTGCTCACCCTGTACAAGCCCCCTCCTCTGGCGTCCGGCGCTGAAACGGGACACGAGGACTTCGATGGCCCGAGCTCTGGGGCGACCTCTCGCGATCACCGGGTTTCGGGTCGTGGGATTTTCCGTAGATTCTCAGGAGGATTTGAAAAAAATCTTCGTGATCGGATGAGCCTTCTTGAGGATGGACATCGTATGAAGGCCAGCATCGAGAACAGACAATGTATCCCCAAGAACAATACGATGCCGCTCAAGGCTCCAGCGGTGATGGAGTCTGCGCAGGACGCTACTGATGATGGTGATGAGCTCTCTGAGCAGAGATTGGGAGGGGCCCAAACCATAGGGGCTTGGGGAGAAAAGAGAATTGCAGAGACCGATGTAGACTTCCGTGTAAAGATCAGCGGGCATCGGATGATGGAATTGATGGGAATGGAGGCAGACTTCACGACTGTGATAGCGTGAAGTTCGAGATCTCGCTCAGGGCTGAAGAAGACTCCGAGCCTGCGAGAAATATTGGCCCTGTGGACACATCACCCTCGCATGCTGCGTGTACTGTCTTGACTCGAACGTCCGAACGAATTCCGCCCGAATAAGTATCAAATCTGTATGATTCGAAAAGTCAAGGCGCGTTCTTCGTACTACTGATTTTGAGTCATTAAAGCCCGGTCAGGCCCCTTTCGAATCATGGAACGAGGCCCTACCTGCTGCGAGTCAACCCCAACCCCAAGTTTGGGGAACCGAGATGATTCATATCAGAAATGGAGAAGTAACTCCATCCGCGGACCAGAAAGCTCCGGGCTTTTGCCGTGCCCGCGTCGGGAAGCTTCGAGGGTACTTCAACCTCTAGCCTAGCGCGCGGCAGACGCTGAATTCGCGGCCGAATTGAGCGAACCTCATGCTTCATAGGATTCACGCTCGGAGGGGGAAATTCTTATCCCTCAAGTCTCGCAAGGGGGAAGGAGAAAATCAAATACTATACGCTTCTGGAATTTTCTCGGAGCAGCAGGAGAATCGAGCATCATGTGCTCTCAACAGGGCGTTGAGAAAAATGCGGGAATCGCTGAAGCCGAGATTTTGGACAGTTCTCAGCGGTTTCCGCTATCTTCGTTGCTCCCAAAAAAACATTCATCTGATTTCCTTCAAAAAAGCAGAGAAGACGTATCCTGATCATGGAAGTGAAATCAGGCAATCTACCGAACTTCGAGCGGAGGGGGCTCGGAGAGCTCCCAGCCAGTGCCCGGCCCCGAGTTTTTGAATACAGCTGATTGAGAGTCAGGATATGCTACGCGGGGAAAGTTGGCGAAGTGCGGTTGTTCCGAGTAGATCAGGCAATTTCCCGCGATATTCCGTACTCTCATCGCGATTCTGCCGCGATTATGGCGATGTCACAGTTTCAGCTATAGTCATACGCTCCGCGCTGGGGATCGCTCCTTCTGTGATATTTTCATGATCTCAGTGGGCTAGCTGCCCGGCAAAGGGAATCGGATAAATTCTCTCATCGACGCCTGGCATCGGGTTTACCTCTAAGGCATCACTGATCACTGATTACCGAATATACATAGGTCTGCAGAGCTCTAGTCAGCTCCCAACTAAGAGGTGTCTGGGTCGAGCGGTATATGATTCGAATGCGTTCGTATGAGCGCGGGGAATCGCGCCGAGGGTTAGCTCCAAGAAGTCCTCGGAGAGACCGCGGCTGAAATTGAGGCGAAAATTAAGGAATTTTCAGTCGGTTGACGTCGCGAACGAGGATACAATGAACTTCCCGTAAAATAGAAAAGCATTGTACTGACTTTCGAGAAAAATCTGAGTTCTGAGTTATGAAGTGAGATCTCAAGGCGTTCTTTCTGGAAGCTCAATATCATGCAGAATCGCTAAAACACTATCTTAATAATCCGGGAAGGGGATATTCCTTCGCATCAAGGGGGCACAGCCCCAGGCATCGGGCGAATGATGTTCCAGGTTTCTAGATTTATTTGGACTCTCCCTGGGACCGATGACTTAGGGCGTCACATTTCCGAGCCGCTCCAATTTGCACAGAGAAGGACTTTGAAGCCTTCTCTGCTCTGCACATTCCACCTTCGAAATAGAGCGTGCGACTCGGAAGCATCTTGTCAAGACGACGATCGTTCCTTGAGCAACCTTAGCAACCAATGGTCAGGAGCTACGAAGCCACTAAGAATGGTCCAATATGCTACGATCTGAGATTGAACCCGCGGAAGTTGACTTCAACGAGGCGCGGGAACATTCTGTTTAGGCGTTCGAATCGGAGTCTGACTCCTGAGTTGCAGGGATGTTTCTGGATTGTGGAGTTAGATTAAAATTGACTCTATGGTCTGATTTACGGGGCATGATCTTAGAGCTGGCTGAGTTCTGAGCTAACGGATTTTTCTGATTGAGGGGAATCTGTTTCACGGGAAGTTCACTGTATATCGGAAAACTTTATATCGAATGCGGTGACCGAAAGGGGGGGGGACGGATTGGTCGAAGATTCATATTCAGAACAAGACGACAGGCCAGCCCAAAACGACTCCATGTTGGTGAGTCGTTCCACCGGTGACGGGCATGGATTCACGCTCGCCTCGGAACGGAGTCCTTTCGATTCGCACCTTTTTTTCCTTTCTTCCGTGACCCGCTCAGCCTGTCATCTCCCGGACAACGAATCGCTAAATGAAGCAGCGTTCCCGCTTCGTACTTCCCTACGATGGGATTCGTTCCGGTTCGCGAGCCTCTACCGCACGGTCCATGAAGACGCGATTGAGATGCATTCATTCGCAAGGCCTGTTAGTAAACAGCGGCTCTCTCCCTCTCCCGGCGTCGCGGGTCGCGGGCGGCTTTTGGCAGGAGAGACATCGGCTTGTTGTTGTATGAGGAGTGAGGAGGCGCAAAGCTCTCTCTGAGGCCTAGCGGTTACCCTGGGAAGCGAAGTTTCAGTTCAGTTAGTTCACTGTGTGTACCGCGATTGAAGTTGTGAATTACAGGCAACATACTTCTGCCCAGATAGTCGCCTAGAATTCGGACTGCTTCAGCTTGGTGTAAGAGAGGACGACCACCAGCGATTCCGACGCTGATTATCACGGTTGCGGGACTTGAACCCGGTGTCAGAATCGTCGCCCCGCTCTTTGCCCATCTTCCTCGGAAATGCTTCATGCGGCTTAGCATAAGTGCGTTATATCTCAGAATAAGGTTATACAGCTCAAAGATGCCGAAAACGGATGAGCGAGTGACAGCAGTCAATCACTTCGAACATGAAAAAAACATACTCTATCTCATGAGACGAGACAAGAGAATCTTCGACAATCATTGTGTCGAGCTTGGATTCAAGCTGTCATATAAGTCCAAGACTAAATTTTACACTGGCGTTGAATTTTCAAAGTTGAAGATCAATGAGAGACAGAAAACTTTCGTCATAGAGGGACTCCAAGAGATGGAAGAAGCTTGTCGAGAGCACAATATATACTTCGACCTCATCGACAACCTCGAGAAATTCGTTGAGAAAAGGGATATCGACTGTATAATCATGGACTTCTCTCCTCTGAGAGAGTGTGAGGCTTACAGGAATGAAGTCGAGGAGATGTGTTCGGATAAAGAGCTCTCTCTGTACGTTGTCGATGCTCATAATATGGTCCCCTGCAAGCTACTGGACGTCTATAAGAGAACGAGCAAGGCCGTCAAGATACAACTCTTCAACCATTGGGACGACTACCTGTCAGACTTCAAACCACTTGAGAAACACTTGTACAACAAGAAATCAGAGACCTCAACACAGAGCAACGACTTCCCCAAGAAATCAGTGAAGAACATATTCAAAGGCGGATATTCACACGGCATGGACACAGTTGAACATTTCTTCGACAAAAAGTTCGCAATCTACGCCAAGAACCGGAACAACCCCGATGTCGATGCGCTCAGCAACTTGTCGCCATGGATATCGAGCGGTCAAATCAGTAGCCAGAAAGTAATTTATCTCGCCACTAAACGCTTCGGCAAGAAGAATGAGAACTACATCTCATTCATCAACGAGATCTTCGCTGTGAAAGAGAATTCCGAACACTTCTGTCTCCATGAGAAAAACTATGATAACATAGACGGAGCGCTCCAATGGGCGAAAGATTCGCTTAACCTGCACCGTAACGATAAACGTGAGCGCATCTATGATTTAGAGACCCTGGAGATGGGTAAGACAAAGGATCAAGCTTGGAATGCCGCACAGAGACAGCTGTTGGCCGAAGGCAAATTGCACGGCTACTGCAGAATGTACTGGGCGAAGCAGCTGCTCAAGTGGACGAAAACTCCCGAGGAAGCGATCAAGACAGCGTGCTATCTGAACGATACCTTTGCCATCGATGGCAATTGTCCGAATGGTTTCCTCGGTCCGATGTGGTCCATATGCGGTTCAATGGACCAAGGGTTCAAAGAAAGGCCTGTGACAGGGAAAATAAGGCCGATGAACGCCTTCAAAGCCCCGCTCTACATCAGCAAGTGGTCAAATTATTCGCCATCCTCTTCTAAATCTTCTTCGACGTCCTCCTCGTCCAAGAAATAATCATCCCCACATGGAAACTCCAGAGGACATGGACTCCGCGTATGCTCCCGAAATTCAGATGATCCGACGAGCGAAACAGACAAATAAAAGAGCAGGAATTCGCTTCTATCGAGACTCTTCCTTCGTGCATGGGACTGGAACGGAGAATCGTAGCATCAACATCGTGCGGAGGGTTCTGTTACGCATTGCGTCCATTGGTGGTAGCGAGAGAAAGTCGAAGACTCTCAGCTCCTCCAACTTGGATTTCTCGGGCGCGCTGTATCACTGATTCCCTGGGAAGGATCAGGATACAGCGACCGATCGAGCGCGAGCGGCAGATCAGACACAGATTCACTCAAGAGCAGCGTTTCTCTTCCGCATAGGGCGAGGTATCGAAAAAAAGACTCTGAGGCTCAAGATCTCGACCGGAGGTCTTCCCTAGTCCCGAAGATTCAAAGACGCTTTTTCCTCAAATAGAGTCGAAACTCGGGACACATGGACGGAACAATTGGTTCCGTTCGGAAACTCGGACGAAGCTCCGTGGAGGCCGCCAAGAGCGGCTTCATGGAGCTGTTCCAAAGATACTTCACAGCCAGCTCCATTTTCCCCCCCCTCCCCCCGGAGCTCGTATTTCCAACTTCCGGAGCGATCCACTCATAAAAGCTCGCCCTTCTCCAAGTTGCGCGCTTGTCGCTCTCTTCCCAATAATTCCGCCAGCGGCCATCTTGAATCTGCCTTGTGGCCCAGAGTCTACGGTGTTTTGCTTCTGTGTTTACTGAAATGGAGCTATATTCCTCCCGGTTTTTATGAAGATGGCTTTGAAAGTATCGGTGGAGCTCGACGGAGACCGACTCAAGCTCAAGACACCGGTCCCCATAAAAGTTGCCCGCGTGAAGGTATTTTATTTTTGGTATTGCATTCGAATTTTCTCGGATACCATTCCTTCGATACCCGATACCATTCAGTTCTTCTGCCAGAACTCCAGTAATGATTATGCGGTTCGTGATGAATTGAGTAGCTCAGATCCGAGTTCACTCGCTCCCCTTTCCAGGTAAAAACAAAGTTTCCGCTGTACGTCAATTCAGTGGTACTCACCTATGAAAGTGCAAATGAGATCGGCCGGATCAAGAGCGCAAATTTGAAATGTCCCTTCGGCGGTACTGTGGGCGAGGTGTTCGTCGAGACAAATACAACTGTAAATGACGGGTGAGTCTCGTCTCCTAAGATGATTCCGGGGCGAGATCCCCGCTCAAGCACTGACGCCTGCTCTCGTTCGCGGGACTCGATGATTTCATACGATTCTTCCCTCCCCAGAGACACTTTGATGCAACTCAGTATATGTTCCCACTCGATCAGGGACAAGGACGTCTGCGCTGATTGCGGAGCCCACTTACAGGAGTGCGTAATATCGTGATTTAGACTAGACAGAAAAAATCCGTTCCTCGCAGCGAGGGATCGCTCTCACCTCAAAGATAAAATATCATCAGATCTCTTCTTCTCGATCAGGCCAGCCAGCGGCTCCGGTGCAAATACAGCTTCCGTGTCGATGATTCACGATAAGCCACAGTTACGAGTTAGTGAAGAACTCTCTCGGTCCATCGGAAGGGTAAGCTCGATCGGGATCTGGTGGGAAAACTGAGGATACCCTTAAAGCTTTTATTATCGCGTTGTGGAAAATCATCAATTCGACGGTCCCTTCTTCCAGGATGATGAGCTCCGTTTGTTGGCGCTGAAGAAGCTGGTGCTACTCGTTGATCTCGACCAAACCTTGATTCATACAACAAGCGAACCTGTATACGACAAAATCAAAGGTGTTCATCATTTCCGTTTACCCGGCAGTAGTAATGCTTGGTATCACACCCGCATTCGCCCAGGAACGGAGGACTTCCTGAGAAAGGTATGGACTGTTGTGCACGCTCGAAAACCGAAGCTGCGGAACAATGTGACTCCATCGAAGCTTCCTTAAGCACAGAAACCGCTGCCAGTTGACTGAAAGTTTCCCGTTACAGATCTCTCAACTGTTCGAACTGCACATAGTCACGTTCGGGGCTCGTCCATATGCGAACCACATCGTTTCCTTGCTGGATCCGGGGAAGAAATACTTTCAATATCGAATTTTGACTCGTGATGAATGTTTCCACCCTCAATCGAAGACAGCGAATCTCAAATCATTATTCCCGTGCGGTGATCAAATGGTCTGCATCATTGACGACCGCGAGGACGTTTGGAATTTCGCTTCGAACCTTGTCGCTGTGAAGCCCTATGTTTTCTTCCGCGGGGCCGGCGACATAAACGCGCCGGCGGGCTTGCTCGCGGACTGTCATGCGCTGCCCGCATCCGAAGGCGGCACATGTAGCTCAGTCCTGTCCCATAAAAATCCCGAAGCTCTCCGCGCGGATCGAGAAGTGTTGGCATGTCTTCAGAGTCTCATAGAACACACGTGTGGTGCGACAGATGGCTTCATTGACTATGAAGACGGAGATGACTACCTCTTTTATCTCGAAGAGACTCTCCGAACGGTGAGATCCTCATCCATACTTGGGACAAAGGCACCCAGCTCATCCTGTAACGTAGATAATCTGTTGCACCTCGATGTATTCGACGAAATCTTACGTCCCCTGTCCCGCAGATCCATCGGGCCTACTTCGAGCTATACGAGCAGATGCAGCTTAAGAAACACAGTGAAGCTGTTTCCATCCCGGACTTAAAGACGGTCATCCCGTACGTTCGGCAGAAGGTTCTGAAGGACGTGGTCATAGTGTTCACCGGGTGCTTCCCCATCAATCAACGACAGGAGAGTGCCAAGATCTACTTGGTTGCGATCGCGCTCGGCGCAAAGGTTCAGAAAGAGTTGAGCAAGGAAGTCACCCACCTGGTCGCCGCTCGACCTGGGACCGCGAAAGTCCAGCAGGCTAGAAAGTTTCGCTCTATAAAGGTGAGACTTCGACGCTATGTTCACCGATCAGGGGGGACCTTATGAATTATGATTGATTCCTATCTCTAGACTTCATCTGTCGACTTCGTAGCTTTATTTCCTATTCTGTATTCCAGGTGGTCTCGGCCCAGTGGTTGTGGTCGTGTGCGGAGAGGTGGGAGAAGAGTCCGGAGACGTTATTCCCTCTGAAAAACGTCCCCCTCGACGCGGGCAGATGGCGGGCCAGAGGAGGTGCGCCGGAGAATACTGCTGAAAAATTCGAAGAGGGGGAAGCCGATTTCCTCCGCGAAGAGATGCTGAAGCTCTCGCAGAGAAAGATGCTCCCGGAAGCGCTAGTTCCATCCTTCGTCACTGGACATGACGCTCTAGCCGAAATGGTCAAAGAAGTCGATGATGAGCTTGCCGACGATGATGAAGAAGGAGGAGACGAGGACCTGCCCCTGCCGAAGAAGAGTAAGTCCTCTTGACTTGTCGAGAGGCGAACGATGAAGTGCCCCAACGATGCCTTCGAGTGGGATTCTATCAAAATCCATGCTCAAATAATGCCTGATTCTCTCAAATAAATAGAGCCCGGGGCATCATGCGCGAGGGCCACGAATGTTTTCTGAACTTGCGCTGAACATCTCCGTAACTGCCCCCTCGAAACGCGGGGCACGGATCTCATCGGGGACCAAACGCCCCTATTACGATGCGGTTCGACCGGAGGAACTCACGCGACGCTCTGCTGGAGGAAACCGCTCGAGCAACTGGTGCCAGTACGCGGAAATGCTCGATCCGGAACTACGCCGATGACTTCTTCCCGCCATCACTGCCGTATTCACAGAATGCGCTTCCAGTCTTCCAACGCGACAGATCCGCTTGAAGCCGACATCAGTGAAGTCGATGTTCCCGCTGGAATCCTTTCGGTTGCAGGCCCGCGGACAATCTTCAGCTCAAGGAGGCGATTCGGACCCACTCAGAGGAATATTAATGATTAAATATCCGAATTGATTGTTCGGTCGTCAACCGCAGGATCGGATGGAAGTCCAAAGTCGCGCCTAGGCATAAATATATGCATTAGGCGGGGCGACGAATAAATGCTCCTCGCAATCGATGCGGTGAAACATATTCTTTGCGATACATTTGAATACTCCCGGACACGTTCCCAAATCTTGCATCCTAGATTCCTGAACAGGTGGAGGAAGCCGGAGTTTCCGTCTCGGTCTGGCTATCCATAATCGGTAAAGGGTGGTTTGAGCGTGGATTGATCTGAGCGCATGATCGATTTGAGCGCAAAATCGATCTGAGCGCATAATCGATTTGCGCGATATCGATTTGAGCAAAACAGATCTGTGCGATCTATATCCGAGCGGAGTTGATTAGAGCGAAATTGATTGGAGCGAAATCGACTTGAGCCCATGATTGATCTGAGCGCATGATCGATCTGAGCGCGCAATTGATTTGAACGCGCTTGAGCGCATAGTAAATTTGAGCGCTCGAGAGATACGCTCAATAAATATGATGATTATGATTCCAAATGCGCGCATTCGAGAATGCTCCTCTGACCCATATAAGGAGTCGGCTCCAGGTATATCGAATATTGGCAACGAATGTCTCTTTAACGAAGGCCACATAGTGAGTGGGGTTGGGTTAGATCCCCGCAATTCGGAGCTCTGGCATTGTGAGGCGGACTAAACCTTAGTTCGAGGCGGTGGGGGGAAAACTTAAGGTTAGACCACGAAGCTTTCCCCTCAAGCGAAGCCTAACCTCAAGTTTTCCACCCACCGCCCGAACTGAGGTTTATAGCCGAACCACACTCTCCAGGCAGCGCCCCGGGAGTCTGCGCTCAATTCCATCAAGCGCTCAGATCAACTGTGCGCTCAAATCGATCATGCGCTCGAATCGATCGTGAGCTCAAATTGATTTCGCTCTAATCGATTTCGCTCGAATCAAAAACGCGCAAATCAATTCTGCGCTGAAATTGCTTCTGCGCGCGGATCTATTTTGCGCTCAGATCGATCGCACGCTCGGAAAACCACGAACCCCATAATCGACCCCCCTAACCTAACCTAACCGAACCCCATAATCAGATCGGTGGCCGTACAAATTCTCGCAAGAAACTCGGAAAGGCGTCGCGTTCACGACATCCAGTCCGATCTTCCTAATCGTTTGAAGGACGGGTAACGATAGTCCGCTTCGTTTGCAGCTGCCCACGGCATTGAATAGGACGCCCCAGAAAAGACTGATGCTGTGGTGACAAAAAACGGTCATCGTGTCGCTTCTTGAGAGGAAGATTTCGATCCCACCAGAATCGTCCGCCGAACTCTGCGGGATACTGTCTTCCGTGACCGCAGTCTTTTATAACAGTCATTGACGGAATGCGAGAGAGCTTCCTCATAGATTCAGACCACTCGCGCTGGCACAGGGATCGTTGGGTAGGGTAATTATATCTTGAGCCTTTTCAATACCGGAATGCTTTCGCTCGATCGTCTGAAACAGTCTTTGGAATCGAATAGATTCCGGAGAACGGAAATCACAGGGCTGCAATCCGGAACTTATTGTCGCCCACGCCATTATTACGCACCAGAAACTCCTACGGCAAAAACATCCCAATTACATCTGGTCGTCGTCGCCATGACTGTGCATGCTCAGAGAGCAGGATGTCCATTGGTTCGAACTATGCCTGCCTTTGTCGAGAGAAGCCACATGTAGATAAATCGGTGAGAACCGACACCTATAAAAATTTCCGTGGGCATTGGCTGTGACTCTTTTGCCTGCTCGCAGGAAGTGGGTGAACCTCGCGGCTCCTCGATTTCAACCCTGACAAGGTTAGTGAATTTCGATGTGATTCGACTGACGCTGATTGAGATGGCGCCCCAAACGGCTACCCGGTCGGCTATCCAAGCGCAAGTACATAGGTATAGTTCAATTATTATCGACGCTCTTGTTCCGGACGACTTCTTAGGCGGAAGGATGGCGTCATCACGAATCAGGCTCCTTGCGCTTGCCGTGATTCTGGGATCCGTAGCCCTCGGTGCCGGCGATGTCGCTGCGGATGGAGAAGGGGCTTCGACTAGCCCGGCGGTCTCGGGGAAGTCTTCACATCTACCGAGCTCGGGCGATTCTGAGGGGGAGGTAATGTCTACGCTCCTTCGCACTTTCAAAGCCTATACCCCGTGATATAGATTATAACTGGAAACCTCCGGAGTACCTACGCTTTCCGAGAGGTGACTACTTAGTCCATCCATCCCAAGGCTTACGAGAGAGTCGCCCAACTAGGAGGATTGAGAGAGTGGGCTCTCGTCATCGAGATATCTCGTAAAATCTTGTTGGAAGTCGATCCAGAGACGGAGTTTCGAGTCGCGGGGCTCACCGACGACCTGGTCAGTTGGCTTCTAGAAATTATCGAGGAAGCTCAGAGCCTCCCAGCTCGCGGGAGTCATAGGCGTGTATTCCCTCTAACGCAGCTCTCTTTATCCGGGAACAGATGGGAAACGAAAAACACAAATTCAAGCTTATTTTCGAATCGGAGAACAAAACGCGTATCGTCACGGTGGAGCAGGAATCCGAACATGACTTCAAAGTTATTGAACTCGGTGATGCGAAAGAGAAGGCCATGTGCACTGGAGAGAAGGAATGAAGCTTCGTATATCCTATCGAACGGGACTGATCCATGCGGACAAAGATGATGATCGTTGCTCAGAGCCTCAAATTCTATGATTGCACTCTACAGGGCCCTGATATTGTGCTCCGAATGAAGTTTTCAGGAAATTCCAGGACGGCGACGTACCGTCTGTAGCTCAAGCACAATCTTCAAACGCTCAAATCGTGGAGACACAGACGTGGTGTCGGCACGGTTCCGGAGCGGATAAAATTATGCGAGAAATAAAACCTATCCTGCTCCCTAGAGCCGTTCGTCCTTCGTGAGCAATTCTCTCTCGGATAGGACCAGCCTTGGTCGGCGGGGAACTTCGCTTGATCGTGGCTGCCTCTGCATGCCGCGTTCTCGATTGCAGAACTCGCAGCCGAACTGTGACACAGAGTTACCGAGTATCATTCTGAAGAACTCTGACCGATGAAATCGATCGATAGAATCGGAATCTGCGACTTCTCGGGATACCGTCGGGAACAAATAACTTGCGCCGCTCCTGCATGTAGAATATTCCCACGCGTTCCTCCCTAGCCGAGTCCATGTATACCTATGATTCGATCGAATCCTGGGAGGAACTGACGAGTTCTCCCAGAGCGCTACGGGTATACAGAGCCCGCCATTAATCAGGGTCGCATCACGCCATCGGAGGAGACTTTTCGCTTCAGTAGATTCGCCGATCCTTTTTCATGAACCGAGCTCAAGCTGACGCGAGGAATCCCTTGAACGCCTGCACCCAGGCCGAGCCCTAGCTCGCGCCGCGCTTCTGATGGTCGATTCAAAGGAGGGATTCTAAATTGGGCAGAATATTCGATGAGCCTCCGATGAGAAATAAGAATATGAGAGCTTTCCAGAATGAGACAGACCTACACGGGGGAAGATTTCGATGATGGATAACCCTGCCTTGAGAGCGCGAGACTATAAGTACAACTGTTCGAGATAAGGAAATTTCAGCGACAGAATAGATAGAGAAGCAAAGCAGGAAGACGGCAAGCGTGTTGAGTTATGGAGCATCGCGCTCCTCGGATATCATTCTTACTCCGTCGTCTCAAGTCGAATCTAAATCAATCCTCTCTTCATCCTACCGGAGCGGCGAGACGATGGGAAACTCCATCACACGGATGATGTCGAAGCAGCCATCTGAACTCCACGGTCACAAACTTCATGCTTCCTTGTACTTCGCTGGAGCGGCTGTTTGAGCGAACGGCGACAATGCCGGCAGTATGCTCGTCAATAAGTTACGAGCCCGCACGCGCCGGATCGTGACAGGGTCATCGACTGCTTTCGGCGGGATCTGCCGCTGCCCTCTGAGAAAGTCAAACTAGAACGAACTTCTGGAGATCCCGAAATGGCGGCGGGACAGAATCTCCGAATTTTTTTCGCGTCACGCGCTTCGATCCGGGAAGCTGACAGTCCACATCGGGCATTACGCTTTCTTCTGCAGAAATCTCCTTTGACATTGTCGACGTCATCGTCGTGCTCACCCTCCGACGGAGGAGGTATCGCCGCGGAGCCCTAGAGCGATAGACTTTTAGCAGCTGAAATCTAAGCCGAGCCTGTGAGTGAATATGGGAACCGGGCGGGAGCGCCAGCTTTGGCTGACGTGAAATCACGCTTTCCGACTCGTCAATCCACAGAGTTCGCGCCACCGTCTGTCATGGAAGGCGAGGGGATTAGAATCGGAGCGCAACGTCAAACATGGCAAGCTCGACATGAAAGCTAAGTTTCCGCGGCGAATGAAGGCTCAATGGGTTTGCGCGGCGTTCGGCTTCCGGAGATCGGGTTTCTCGGGGGAGAGGAAAGCTACCGACAATCGATTGCTCACGAGCTCGAGGGAGCCGCTGCAGCCGCATGAACTTCTCTCCTCCGCCACAGAAATCGCCGCATCGAGGGCTTCATCGCTACACTAAAAATTCCAAATTGAGTCGCCGAAGATAGCCCTTGACTCCGTCGATGGAGAGCAGT